TAACCATTTTGAAGGCACAATCCCTCGCCAATTTTGTGAGATGACCAAACTAAGCTTGATCGACCTTTCTTTTAATTGGCTCTCGGGTCAAATCCCGCACTGCTTTGGTAACATAAAGCTGGAGGTAACCGAGGAGAAGTCTAAAATGGCTAGACACTTATTCTATGCATTCGGCACATTGGCATCTTATATGTTAGAAATGGACTATCATGTGCAATTCGACAATTATGATTTAATCCAATTAGCCGATCTGCCAATTACAGCGGCATTCGTGACAAAGAGAAATTCTTATTCTTACAAAGGCTACATCCTCAATTACATGTCAGGAATTGATCTCTCTTCTAATAAATTACATGGTGAAATTCCGGATGCCCTTGGGAACTTAAGTGAGATCCACTCACTCAACTTATCCCACAACAATCTTGTTGGAACAATTCCAGTAACATTCTCAAACCTACATCAAATTGAGAGCTTAGATCTCTCCTATAACAGCTTAAGTGGGAGGATCCCCACTGGTCTGATCGAGTTAAATTTTTTGGCAGTCTTCAGTGTGGCGCATAACAATTTAACAGGTAGGATACCTGATAAACGTCAGTTTGAAACCTTTAAAGAAGATAGCTATCTGGAAAATCCTCATCTTTGTGGTCATCCATTATCTGTCGATTGTACTAGCACTGGATCAAGACCTGTCCTACCACCTGCTGATGATGAAAGTGAGGAGCACGGTTTCATGGACATGGAGTACTTCTACATAAGCTTCATCGTATCTTATGTATTTGTAGTGCTTTGCATTGCTATAGTTCTGTACATAAATCCTCACTGGAGAAGAGCATGGTTCCATTTCATTGAGGTTTACATAATCCATTTTAGAAGCCGTATGTTCTAAACAATATTCCCATATCCCAAATAAAGGTACCTTTTGTAATTCTGTATGAGGATTTTTGTAACTAATATATTTTTGTAATTAATCTTATCATTTTTCTTTCCAGATTTGATCATCCCGAAGTAACGAAGCAATCGTAGGCATGCCTTTGATGTGATTAGATGTTGTAACCATTATTGCAGTTGAGTATCAAACATTGGGTTAATGAAAAGATTTATATTAGTGCTGCTTTATTTATTTATTTGACCTTAGTCCATATATTGCAGTTTAGTATCAAAAATCACACTATCTTAAAAATCACAATTCAAAACTCTTTTTTGTTTCTACCAAAATGGTTGTTAAACAGCCCTTGAATTATACCATATAGGGTCTAAACGTAATGAAGACACAACCTGTACCGCCGGAAATCAATACACAAAATGGAAATTACATGGAACCCTACATTTGAAAATTCAATTTCCAAAATCAGATTTGGTCTTTTAAGTTTCAAAAATCAGATATTTTAATGTATAGATACAGATTTTTTATATTTAATTAAATATTAATAAAAATATTTTGA